ACCTTGTAAGTGGGTATACAAGGTAAAGCACAAATCAGATGGTTCCACTGAAAGGTTAAAGGCACGATTGGTGGTAAGGGGGGATATCCAAAGAGAAGGTATTGACTATTCTGAGACATTCTCACCTGTGGTCAAGATGACCACAATCAAATGTCTTTTGACTGTGGCAGTGAAGAAAGGTTGGAAGGTGTCGCAACTTGATGCCAATAATGCGTTTTTACATGGGGATTTACAAGAGGAAGTTTACATGAGATTTCCTCCTGGGCTATCTCCACCTACTCCTAATCACGTTTGTCTTTTGAAGAAGTCCCTATATGGCTTGAAGCAGGCCTCTAGACAGTGGTATGCTAGATTAGCAGGTGCACTTAGTTTCAAAGGATATTCAGCTTCTCTAAATGACTATTCTTTGTTCTTTAGACACAATGAAGGTCGCATCTCGATTTTAGCAGTTTACGTGGATGATATCTTACTTACAGGGAATGATTTTGCAGAAATCAGTCATATTACCCACTTTCTTGATTCAGAATTCAAAGTCAAAAACTTGGGGGATATTCACTATTTTTAGGGGATGGAAATCATTAGAGAGCCACAAGGTTTTATCATCAATCAGAGGAAGTTTACCTTAGAATTGTTGGAGGAATTTGGTTGTTCAGGAGCTGCTGTATCTTCACCCTTGGATCCTTCTTCCAAATTGCATCTTGGCTTGTCACCTCCCTTAGCTGACCCTGTTATCTATCGCCGCGTTGTTGGTAACCTTAATTACCTCACAAACACCCGCCCGGACATCTGTTTTACTGTGCTCACTCTTAGCCAATACATGCAAAAGCCCCAAATGTTGCATCTTTCTGCTGGGATGCGTGTTTTGAAGTATTTGAATACCGATCCAGCACAAGGCATCCTCCTATCTGCAAATCCTTCCCTTGATCTGCTTGCCTTTTGTGATGCTGACTGGGCTGCTTGCAAGACTTCTCGCCGCTCTGTCAGTGGTTTCTTCATCACCCTAGGGGGAGCTCCAATCTCATGGAAATCGAAAAAGCAAGTATTGATTTCACTATCCTCCGCCGAGGCAGAATATCGATCTATGAGGCGTGTCACTGCAGAGATAACTTGGCTAGTTCGTCTCCTCGTCGATCTATTTGTTCCTCCTACTTTAGCGGCCATTTACATTGCTCGAAATCTAGTTTTCCACGAAAGAACGAAGCATGTGGAGCTGGATTGCCACTTCATCCGGCAACAGTACCTCTCAGGTTTAATCACTCTCTCTTTTCTTCCCTCGAAGCTTCAGCTCGCGGATCTTTTTACCAAGCCCCTCACTGGGGTTTCTCACCATCAGATTTTGCCCAAGTTGGGGGTTTTCTCTTCACCCTCCAACTTGAGGGGGGATGTTAAGATGAAACCCCATAATAATTTGAAAGAAGAAGAAGCAGAAACGAAGAAGATGAAAAGATTTCATCTTGTACAGAAATAAAGAAAAAGACGGGGTTCCGACATAGCAAAAGGACTTCGGAGTCTTCTAGATAAATGTCTTTTTCTATCCATTTTATTTTGCTCATTTGAGTTTACACGTGTACAGATCTCAGCCCTTGAAGCTATTTAATAAGAGCCATTGATATGGCAAATCTAGTTATACAGATAAGGGTGTGAGAGCACATGTTAGGGAATAATTTAGTTTTTCTGTTATAGCATTAGACAATAGGAATTGAACAAGTGTACAGTATTAATTTCATTTTACATTTTCTTTTAGCTAGATTACTTGTATAAAGAGAAACAAGCTACTGTGAATACAAGATCAGAAAAATTTCTACAATTTTATTCTCCAATTTTACAGTCTTAAGACCATTTTTTTCTTTCTGGTTAAGACATTTGATAGACCAAATGAACAAATAAAACGAGCCAAAGACCATTGTTCAAGGACCAAAAAAAGCAACAAATAAAATGAGCCAAATCTTTGCCAAAAAATGGGGTATCAAGACCATTGTTCGCAGACATAGTAATTATGCAGTATTAAATATGGCCGTTACTTCGTATCTGAACACCATTGGTTGGTAGACTATTTCTACAACAAAATAATTAATTATTCCACTTATAGAGAACCTTATATCTTTTAATATCTGAACACCATTAGTTGGTTCTTCATAAAAGAGCACAAAATCCTACACACTGTCAGATAGAACCAGAAACTCTGGAGTTATATAAAAATCAGTCCATTAACTTCAGTGTTCATCATTATGCAGGATTCAACAAAGTGAACTGCTGAAATACAAAAAGTAAAGGATTTAGAGCACTACTATACAGACTTCTATCTTTCTGCAGCAACAATATCTACCTTAGCTTAGGGGATTACTGCTCATCTTTTCCAGAGTAGTAGTAGCGGAATACACCGGAGAAGTCCTTTGCCTCATGCCCATTATTGCAGAGCTCTGTGAAGCTGCATTCAGATATGGATTCCGATACTTAGAAAACATTTAGTCCAACAGACATGTTAATGACAAGAAGACACGTTATAATTACATGTTGTTTCGAGCATAGGCGGTGCCAGCATTTGAAGCTTATGGGTGGATTCTAGTCCTTTTAAATTACTGGTTCTAAATTAATAATTCAATAGATTTCTTAAAACAAATACAGAGTTTGAACCAAAGCTATTGGGTTCGCCGAACCCATAACTGAAGAGCTAGCTACGCCCCTGATTTCGAGAGAGCATTGCGATTTTAGTTTCTCGAGATGGCCTCTTTACAATTTTAGTCCTCCACCCATTTAAATGTTAGCAAATCTCCCCCCTGATCCTTTCTCAGCTATAACTCTATGTTATTAACCAGCTCGCTTCATTTTGTATCCTAATGAATATTTGTCATATGGCATCTACATGGCCTATGGTGGACCAAGTTGTAACGTGCCTTAAAGTTATTCAAGTCCTTGCTTCTCCATGCAAGCAAAATTCTTTTGAGACTCAAGAACAATTGAAGATAGTGGTGAAGTATTCAGAATTTCAAGGCCAAGAAACTATATACCATGTTAAAAGAGCCAAAAAAAATTGAGGCCATTATCAAGGACTAAAATTGAATAATCACATCGCTCGAGTCCACAGCCAAGATGTCTAACTGGAGAAAAGCAACACAGCGACAAGGTTTATTGACCAGATCTCATAGCAGAAAAAATTGCCAACTACAAAGAATGCAGCACATCAAAAGCAAATAATAACAGCTAAAACATAGAGCTTTTTCTAGAATTGTTTCAGCATTCAGTATTTGCTCGGATCTGCACAAGATTATGAAGTCTCTCTGACATGCAATATCATGATACACAGTATTTTAATTAAGAAAATATAAGGTCTATACTGTTAGAACTGTTAATTCGTGGGATTTCATTTAAACGGTGCATTATTTAATGAGTTCAAAACAGCAAATAGTTCAAGAAGATGTTGCCTATGTTAAGTAAACTAGCATTGAGCGCTGCTATTGTAATTGAATATTATACCTCCAGATTCATGTACATGAAAAAAGATGCCACTGAGAACGTTGACAGAAGGCTAAATGTCTAAACCCCAGATTAATGCATTGAATGAACAGATAATAAGGTATGGCTAGTAGATCTTTTTTCATTTGCATATTAGTACGGCATGTAGATCCTATAACTAAAGTGACAGCATAGCTTCTATTTTCTAACTTCAGAGGCATACAATTTGTCCAGTCTACGCCACACGAACCATCTTATGGACTCATTACCGAAGTAGGAAGGACTTACATCTTTTCTGCTTGTGATGTCAAAGGACACTTGAGTCCAATTTCTTTTGCTGATGCTGCAGCAAGGTTCAGATCTTTAGCCTGAACAGATGAGGACGTCAACATCCATAACTGATAATGTAAACCTCAATTACTATAATACAAACTACGCTAATATTGACTTCCTAGAGACTTGTGATTTCAAGTGATTATGCAGCAAAAAGAGAAGATGAAAATGAGTAGAAACAAAAAGAAAAAACAGCTCATAACAAAGTGAAACGGATCAATGTTTAACTGATATTACTCTGTACACCTAATGAACTCAGATCTCTCTCTTTAGTGAACACATAGGCGTTCAGATGCATAATACACAGACATAAAAAGAAGAGCAAAACGTTTGCACACTCATAATTATGACAGTGACTGAGCAAAAGTAATCTCCAGCAATCAGACAGAAGTAAAACCCATCAGAGAACACACTTAAAAGAAATGCATATTAATGGTGCGCTTATAAGTGAACCTCAACACTCATTTATAAACGTAGAACTGAACCTTCATGTTCTCCAAAGTCTTAGCAGGTATATAACATGGTTGTACTACATCAAGACAGGATTGAACACATACCATCAACTTAGATGCAAAACCTCCAATATAATTCCTGGAAGAGGGCACCCCATCCATCACCCCAGGCACTGGATTGTATGTGTCACTGTCATTTGGATTCATACAAGCATAAAGTTAGAAATAAGCTACACTTTGATTTTGTGTATGTTATCAGGGGACAGATTTAGATACTACGGACAAGGTTTAACTTGCATACTTTGCTTTCATGGAGTATCATTTAACTACTTGCTTTTTTTGTAAGCAAAGTTTTACTTTTTGGCATGATTAAAAATTAACTTAGTTCATTGTGAACCTTGAAATAGGATAAGGTAAAGTTCTTGAGCGTGCAAGGCAAAAACCTGAAATATAGTTTCAGAAGTGCAGGTTCTTTCACTGAAAGATAGATTCTGAGAGTGAAGAAAGAGGCTCCTAGCCTTTTTTGTTCAAAAGAAAAGCAGAGGAGAAAGGGGTGTACTTGATCATACTGGGTGAATAGGAGGAAAATACTAACCCGCACCCGGTGTTTACACCAAATAACATTAGTTAATTCGTTGTTAAATATGGTTAAGCGATAAATTGAGGTGAGAATACAAATTAATTAACCATGGTTACATGATAAGATATATGCAAAAGACATGTGTCAGTATTCGTCAGTTGGTGTGAACATCGGGTGTGAGTAAGTATTTTCCATGAATAGGATGGCCTATGAAGTCGCTTAACGTTACCTAATAGGCTGCATTAAATAAGTTAGATTTTTTGCAAGTGATAGAGTAAGATGTGAGCCTACAAATTGGATCTTTAGCCATAAGGCAGTGATTGGGAAGCAATCAATCACCTTATAGGTAAGTATAACATTAAATCCTTTTTTAACCTACAGATATGTTGTAAGGCTAAAAGTTTTAGGGCTGTCTCGCTTTCTGTTGGTAGTAGGTTTTTAAGACTAACCGTTGTTTTCTTTCATTGTTGATCACCTTACTGTCTTGTTGTTTCTATTCTGCTTTTATATGGCTTTCTGGTACTATCCCTTCTTTTCTATATTTTCATTAATGCGGTGCTTATGCTTTCCTGAGCCGAGGGTCTATTGGAAACAGCCTCTCTATCCTCACAAGGTAGGGGTAAGGTCTGCGTACACACTACTCTCCCCAGACCCCACGGTGTGGGATAATACTGGGTATGTTGTTGTTGTTGCTAAAGTTTTAGGGCTCATGACCATCATCTCAATGATAAAAGGCCAAGATCTCATCGGTAATGAGCTGAGGTATATTTCACGGATGCTGTTCAACTTCAATTATCTAATCTCAGTGATAAAAGGCAAAAGTCTAATTCTAATCCCTTAAAATACATTCCTCGTGCCCAATTTCCCTTAAGCTTTATACATGGAGATATTTACAGATTGGCTATCTATAGTCTGTTCATCTAAACATAAGCAATCTATCTGCTAGCTTATTATATTTTGGATAGAAGTAAAGTCAAAAATTGCGATCAACATTGGAAGTAGAAAAGGCTCTTGTTAAATTTGTTCTCTTGGGATTGGTGGGTAGGAAGTATGCTAAAGGTTTTTGCATTTGAAGCATGTCACTTTGTCATTGGACAGATATCTTTTACTGCTCAAGTGCTGAAATAATTTGAGAAACTTTCTTATTCTTCAGCATTTAGTTTGACAAATTTTCAAACTAAAATGAGCATAGGCACAAGTCACTTTTTGCAGATGCATAGTATTATGTTACTGCAGCAAAATGCACATTCACTTAGTAAACATAAAGGATAAATATTTACTAAAGCAGATTTTATTTACCAAGTGAATGTGCATTTTGCCGCAGATAATATAATGAATGTCCTAATAAACATTATTGGAACATTGTGCGGAGGACAAATATTTACGAAAGCAGATTATTTTTCATGCAAATAGGCTTTTTCAGTAGGACGTTGTCTTATTATGGATTATAATAGTTAGGTTGCAGTGAGTACCTACTCCAACAGCGAGCACTTGAAGAATTGAATATTTTTGTTAGAGTGCTAGCTGCAATTCCCAAAGACTGACCAAGAGCAAAGGCTTCTGACACCCCAAGCATACTAATAGCCATCGCCAAATTGTTGCAGATCTTTGCAGTCTGAGAAAGAAAAAGAGTTGATGCAGCGGTAACTTTTTTTACATGGTTTTTCTATGCAGAAATGGATTCGAGAAATATTATCTTGTTGCTTTAAATAGATATACACCCACAAGAACAAAGACACTGCTTGAAAATAATACAAAGTTAATGTTAATGTGGGACAGGAAGCAAAGTCTTAAAACCACCAGAGTCCCAAGCCCAAACCACTTAGAAGCTTAATTGTGACAATATGCTGACATTGGTTGTGCAAATTCTTCCATAAGCTACTGAATGTAAGTCATAGAAAGTAATTGCTACCTAATCTGATGCAGAAAAGCTGGACATATTAATCGGTTTAACGATTCACATCGTATTGTTTTATCAGTTCCAGTTACCTCAGTGTTTAATCAAGTCAAAGCTGGGAAACAAAATATATCATAAGGACCAAAAAAAGGAATTGTCTTTCGAAGTATTTATCAGCACTCAGCGGATATGTAAAATTCAAAGTGCAAAAGTTTGTAAAGATTCAGGACATACTGCACCATTCCCCGATCCACCACAGTAAATAGAGTTCTTGCCCATTGAGAGAAACAAGGGTTTGGCAGCCGTGTAAGCCTCCTCTGTACCACCAACCTACATGCATATGTAGCTTATTAGCTCATAGAGAAAATTTTCTGTCTGGAATAGCATTATAATCTCCTCGTAATTGATATCCATAAACATGTGCATCATCCAGTCAGGTAATTCTGATAAGACAAAAAGAGCCCCCCTTCCCCAGTCCCACCAACCAAAACAAAAAGAAATCATGTATTTCATAATCCAGCTTTTCATTGGAATGCCATATGTAACCACAGACAATGTGTACTATAATTAGGACTTTCCACATCAAACATCTCTGAATAGTTCAATGCCCAAACTACATATAACTGGGTCAACAGAAAGGCAAAAAGCTCATATACTCTCAATTATATGTCATGAAATGTAAAATCAGTTAATTCTTCTTGCAGTAATGTATTGGAGGTGGGATAAATATTTGAGAAATTGATAGTTTAGAAAAGAACTAAGGTACATTAAGTGTTTACTCCTCTCCACAAGGGCAGAGGCGAATGTAATGTGCAAGTGACGGGTTCAATTGAACCAATAACATTTGACGCGGAGTAAAAATTTACAAGTAAAAATTCGTTAAACTTGCAAAAATAGTAGATATGAACTCATAACTTCAAAAATATAATAGGTTCAATGCTAAAAACATTAAAAGTTGAACCCATAGAATTTAAATTCTGGATCCGCCTCCGCACAAAGGCATAACTAACAGCAACAACTACTACTACTACACGAATCTTAAGGGACCATGGCTTATGAGCTTTTAAATCTGTTGAAGGCATTGAGACGTAACAGAGAAACAGCAAAACTTTTTCAATTATAGAATGAATGTCTTACAGTCAGTCACCTAAGACGCACGTGGGTGTGAAATTACCACGAAACCAGTCACTTAAGAACCGCTTAGATTGTATAAATACCATGAAAGTAAGAGTCCCATTCTCTGCAGCAAGAACACCGCCAGATACAGGAGCATCCAACATAGCAGGAGTCTTCCAGCCATCTGCAAAGACAACAGTGAATTTGCTAATAGACTGAAAACGTCATTTGGCTATAATCTTTACCCAAGATAGGAAAAAGAATTGTCATTTCACATGACGCAAGAAAGCTTTGTTTTTGATAAATGGACCTTGGGCCTAACTCAACCCCAAAAGCTAGCTTATGAGGTAAGGATTGCTCAAGACCATATAAAGAGACCAAGGACCTCAAATCCCACAGATGTTGCACAACTCAACACCCCCCCCCCCACACACCACGCCCGGGCCTGCAAACTGGAGCATGGATAACATAATGGAGACCCAACATCGGTAACAATATTGGGATGGGCCTGGCTCTGATACCATGATAAATGGACCATGGGCCTAACTCAACCCCAAAAGCTAGCTTATGAGGTGAGGATTGCCCAAGACCATATAAAAAGACCAAGGACCTCAAATCCCACCGATGTGGACAACTCAACAGTTTTTATGCCAAAATGGTAACAGGTGAACATAGGCTGCATTCCTCCGAAAATCTTCCTCAAGTTAGATCGTATAGATCTTATGTTGCAAGCAAGCTGAAAATGCATGTCACTGTGAGAATTCCAATCCTTTGGTGGACAAGTCAACAACTTGATCAACAGACTTTATATTCATAAGATTAAGTGAATTCTCGTCATAGAAGAAACTGCTCACGCTGAAGAAACGTTATCCACAAATAAGATAAACCAGACTCAAATGTCTTGGCATTTAAAATCAGCACTTACTATGCATTAAGTTTCACACAATATAATGCATGTGTTTGACTTTGTATTTCATCAAATAGAAACAAGTTACTGGAATATTATTGCAAACAATGCGGACAGGCAACCAAGATGATGTGAAGAAGAGGGAGAAGCTACAATGATGAACATTACCAGACATACCATCCAAATGAACCATAGGGTCACATGCACATATGCTGCCCCATTTTTGGATGTAACTCATCTTGAACACCACACTTTTGGGCCGTTTGGTTGAATAAGTTAGTAAGAGAAGACAGGCTCATAAAAGAAGATAATAAGGTACAAACAGTGACATTGTCACAGATATTGCGTGATAAAGGGATGTTTGTCCAGTTCAAAAAATGAGAAAGGGGTATGTTTGCTTTGTTTTATTTGTCTCCCTGGATGTGTTGTGCGTGACAGAGGCAAGCAGTTACTGATATGTCTATAACATAATAAACGTTATGACCAAACAGTTGGTAGTTAAAACATATCAAAAGCTCTATCAACACTGGGCATAAATCGTGAAGTTAATTTGATGTCACTTAATGTACCTCTCTTGTGCATCAAAGAACAATTACACACATCTGCAGAGGCCTTTCTTGATGTTTGAGGATCAATCGTAGAAGAATCAATAAATAGCCATGGTCTGAGTGGATTACCGCCACTAAGCAAACCATTTTGTCCAGTATAAACATCCAGAACCTGTATGAATAATGAAATATTGATTCTTGTGACAAATACTCTAACACGCCCAACTCATCATCAACAACAATGATGAGGCATTCAGGATGATCAATCAGCCTTAGAAATATAAGTGCTTGAAATAATAAGAGCTATATAAAATGGTATCCAAATCTCACATGGTTTGATGATGGTAACATTGTAATAACAACATCACTTGTCTCTGCAACTTTCAAAGGCGAGTCTTCCGTGAGAGCGCCTTTGTCCGAAAACATCTTCATAACATTATGATTGCTGACAAACACCAATTGAGGAACTCAAGCTCAAAGCAAACTTCATACAGATTGATTTGGATCTAACCAATCATTTTGAATCAAAGAAAGCATCAACATATAGAGGTATTCCTATTTTCAACCACCCTTTTCTATATTGTGCTTCACCAAAATCCGACATATAAGAGTGTCTTACTGTGTAGAGATTTCTTACTCTGAACGATATTACTTTAGATCCAATTAAGTATAGAACTACGTTGAATTGTGATATTACCAAGGCTTATAATCTAGTGGTACTTATTAGAATTCTTCTCAAATTAAAAGTGGGTTCAATTCTCACTGTTCCCCTTCCCCTTTCCCTTTCCCTTTCACAACCCTCGTTATGTAATGGAAAAAAAAAAACTCAACTAGACTGATCATTAAGCAGCCATTGAAGAAAAAGGGTGATTGAAAGTTGAAAGAATTACATGTCATGAACAGCAAGATTGTATCCAGCCTTAATCAAGTTATCGGCCATTCTTGATCCCATGTTTCCAAGTCCTATGAATCCAATTCTCTGTAGAAGATCCAGATAATAATAACATTACTAGCAAACCTGAAACAGAGCTGCATAGGAAAATATTGCAAGTAAAAGCCATAACACCATAAAATACATGAAATTTACAGTATATATTTGGGACAAAGATAACACTAGGAACATATTCAAAAAACACAGTGATCACTTTCAGTTATAGTTAGGAGAATAAAACAGTAGGAAAAAGGAAAATCAATAACCAATTTTACTGGAAAAAACCTAGTCCAAAATCTTCAAATAATCATATTAAACTAACATAGTTCAAAAAGCCATTTCTAGTTCCACAGCAACTAATTTAAGTAAAACAGAAAACTACCCAGTTCAACTATTGTCAAAGGGAGGTCAAGTGTAATTGCTTGGAGCTCAAAAGTGGAAAATATAGCAAAATAGTAACTCAGCCAAAAAAAAAAAAAAAAAAAAAAAAAAACAAGAAGAAGCTTACTCCAAAAAGAGATGTGTCATTCAGTGAAGAGTAGCTGCGAAATGGAGAAAAGTGTGAAGCTGAACAAACCAATAACTTGGGCCTCCATTTGTGGAGACCCAAAAGTGATCTTAGCTTGAAAGTTGCCATAGCTGCAAAATCTTGAAGAAAAGAGATGAGAAATAAGGTGGCCCCATTGGTTAAATATTTCTACTTCTTGAAATGACATTCTGTAGTACTTCGCTGATTTTGTCCGACCTGGAATCCCAATCCAATGTTGTATTTATACATCTATAAAAAAGGGCCAAATACATGGGGTTTTGACACAGTTATCCACAAAAATAAAACTATTTACTCTTGTCTATCTATTTGTTTTTCTACCCATAAACTAATTACATTTCCTATCCATAGTAATTTTTGTGGGGAATTTTTTCTTTATTCTCAAATTCTTTTTTATTTCTATGCTTCTTTTCTTTTTTCCTTTTTTTCTTTCTTTTCTCCTTTCTTTTTTTCTCATTTTCTTACTATTTTTTTTTATTTTTTCTCTTTTATTCATTTATTTTTGTCCAAATCATATTATTGATATTTTTACCATAACTTATTTCACACTCAAATTTGACTCCTTCTTTATTTTTTTTATTTTTATTTTTTTCTTTATTTCTTGTTCCTTTTCTAATTCCACGTGATTGCTATACAAATCTTAATCTCCTTCCCTACAAATATCAGTACATACTCTACCATTAGCAGTAACACCAACCAGTGATGGAGCGAGAAAGCATAATCTAAGGCCACTAAATCTCCATATATACTAATTAGAATAGAAATAATAATAAAATATTGGAAAATGCAATAAAAATATAAGTAGCAAAAAAGACTTCTAGTACCATATGATACCAATATGGTATACATTTATACCAACAGAGTATATGATTGCTCTAGAATATTGCTACAACTATCTGTGACTATACTATTGTACCAAAACATTAAAGGATACAATAACAGTATGAGAAAATTACATGCTCGCGTTGCAAGCTAAATATTCGCTAAGCAACTTGCTCATTCCATATGCTAACATGGTATATAGGTGTATGGGTCGTTCCAACAATTGCCTATAATTATAAAAACTATTACATAAGACACATAATCTATATCTATAGCACAAAAAAATTTCAGCACTGCAAATCACGTTCATATAAATAATTTCAGAATAGAATTTACTTAAAATGCAGCCAAAACAACCAAAAAATGTTCAAACTACCATATGATATCAATATGGCATATAACTATACCAACATGGTATACAGTTTTACTGGTTAATTACCGACAACTATATGACTATACTACTATTACATAACACACATGCATAAAGAGAAAAATAAAAAAAATAGTGTACCACAAATTAATATAATAAAGTATTTCAAGATATTGTACTATATTACTATTATTAAAATAAAATCAAATATTGTACTAATAAATGCAGCTAACAACCAAAAAATGAATCAACTAGCATATGATACCAATATAGTATATAGCTATACTAATAGGGTATATAGTTGCAATGAATTGTATACCAAAATGGTATATTTGTATACTATTTGAGTATAGAATACAAATTCGTCTTCTTCTCTTGTTCAACTATATTTCAACCCAAACTTCTAAAATCTACTACAAAATCTCCACCAAATTGACTAAAACTTTAGATACAACCTCCAATCAACTTTCCAAACAAACCCATATAGGATCAGATCAAAATAATTAAAAACTCAAACAAACCAAGTTATGAGTTTCAAGCTTCAAGGTCCTTCAATGGTGTATTTGAATTTTTGTACAATAAATGTCCAAAAACCAGTTTGGGCAAAGAGAAAGAATTGTTTTTGTAAGCATTATCTACTTTTCTTTGTTTGAATCAATGAATTGTTTTTATCGAATACACAAAGAGAGCCCTCTGAGTGTTGTGGTTCGATTTTTTTTTATATAACAGGGAGTGCTCAAGACTGATGATTTCTTTCCATCAGAAGGCTGCAACTGGGAAGCTTACTGGTGTATACAGAAAGTATAGCATCTCTAAATACAAGATTTGGATTTTTGATTGCTGAAATTGGATTGTCGTTTTTGCTTCAAATGAAAAAGAGCAGAGTGGGGTAAGAGTTGGAGAAACAGTTGAGATGAGGGACAAGCTGCACGTGATTCCAATTATTACTTCCTCATATTATTGGGAAATAACCGGGTAAATAGTTTGGGCAGCATGGGTAGGAGTAGTAAATAGTTTGGGCCTGGGCATTAAAGGGTAAATAGTTTGGAATTAATAGGTATAAAGTGAGATTTCTCCAAATACATAAGTGGACCCTTAAACTTGGCCTTTTTTTTTTCACTTAGACGCTTAAACTAAACTTTGTTCCTATGGAACACTTGTATTATCTAAAATATGTGTCAATTGTTCCTATGGAACACTTGTACTATCTAAAATATGTGTCAATTAGACACACCTTTTTCAATCTTCTGTAAAGAGCCTGCGCGTGTTATCCGACGCCTTTACATGGAAAACTAGACGAATTATTTTGTGACATGTGGAATTTAAAGAAAAACCTTTTCTTTTACAATTTGTTTTTAATTCTCACCCCAGCCCCACCGTTCTTCTTGCCACCACCCACGTCCCCCACTTTTCCACCTCCCGTTCTTCTTATTTTCTCCCCATTCCCTATTCTTCTACTTTTTCAGTTCGATCCCATGAAATGGATTATATGTTCCACCGTATTCATGTTGCCTGCAAATTTCGCTACTTCTGCAACAATTTCGAATCCATGACAGAACTAAAGTTTGGATTTACCATTTGAAGGGCATTTAACACATGGGTGTTATACATATATGGGAATTAAAGAGATATTTCTTACACAATTTATTTTAAATGTTTGCTTACACATGGATTTACCATCTTTGCCTTAATTGACTATTTGTGGTGGCAAATTGGCAATACTTACCCAAGAGATTGGGATTAGAGGAAGGTTTAGAGAAGTTATTAATGAGTGTTGTACTCTTATGTTTGTGATATATGGCTCATTACTAGTGGCCTTTGTTGAGAAATAAAACTGTTAGAATGCAGGGACAGTTTAGTCATTACATACTGAGTTAGTTAAAGTTAGTTAAGGGGGTTAAATAGTTTGTTAAGATCATTTTAGTTAGTTAAGCTCACTTAGTTAGATTATATAAATGATTCATTGTAACATTTTTGTAATCATATTATTGAGATGGATAATACCCAATTCACTCTATTTGCTCTCTCTCTTTCTCTCTCTCTCTCTCTCTCTCTCTCTCTCTCTCTCTCTTTCGTCTCTTGCAGTCATCTTCTTCCTCACCTCTGCTTATTCTCTTCTCTTCATCTTCCTCTTGTTCTATACAAATTGTCACTTAGTTAATAAAGATTTCATGGTATCAGAGCATATGCTCGAAGAATTTCGAAGCTAAACTTCAATCTCTGAAAATTGAGAAAAGTTCTTGAGCTAAAGATTCAATTCAAGGAGCAGTCAAGAATCAGAAGAAAAAAATCAAAGAAATGAGTACTAGTGGAGATCCTGTGGATGCTGGAGTTGTCAATGGGGTACATGCAAACAATCCAATGAATGGAGGAACTACAGTTGCCGGAGTCGACTATAACCATCCTTTGTTCTTGTCACCGGCAGATGTAAGTGGTATTCAAATTATATCATTTTAGTTGACTGGGATTGAAAATTATTCAATTTGGCAAAGATCTATGCGTGTTGCTCTGTTGGGTAGAAATAAATTAGGCCTTGTAGATGGAACATGCAAGAAAGAGGCATTTTCAATAACAATGTGGAATCATTAGGAACGTGTTAATGCAATAGTCTTGTCTTGGATTATGAATTCTGTATCTAAAGGTCTGTTAGGATGAATCATGTATGCATCTAGTGCTCAAGTAGTGTGGGATGATCTTTCTGAGAGGTTTAACATAATTAATGGCACACGATCTTTTAATCTTCATAGAGAAATTGCAAATCTGAGTCAGGGAACATCATCTGTTTCTGTGTATTTCTCCAAACTCAAGGATATGTGGGAAGAGTTTGAAGCATTAGTGCCTTCACCAGGGTGTGATTGTCCTAAGTCTAGAGATTTTGTTGTGTATCTGCAGAAACTGAAACTATATCAATTTTTGATGGGGTTAAATGAGTCATATTCTCAGGCTAGGGGCCAGATTCTTATGAGAAGTCCACTCCCAACAGTCAATCAAGCTTATGCTATAATTGTTAGTGATGAAAGCCAAAAATCAATGGCTGCAAATGCTGGGATTCTGGGTTCAAATCCAAGTACAAATATAGGAATGTATAATACTGCACTATACACAAGAACTACTGGAAAATTCAAGAAAAACTATAATTTGTTCTGGGATTACTGCAAGTTTAAAGGTCATAGTAAGGAGAACTGCTACAAACTGGTGGGATATCCTCCTGATTTTAAGACAAAAGGGAAAAAAGGAGCTGGAAATAATGTTGCTTATAATGTGATTTCTGATCAATTGGGATACAATGAATCAAATGAGAACAATTTTCTGATGGAAAATGAAAAAGGAAAACTGTAGATCAAATGGGTGCTAACAGTACTGGTTTGAATCAGTTAGGGAATCTTGGTACATGTACTCTTAGTAAAGAACAATATGATCAAATCCTACAGCTACTCAATAAAATGCCTGCTGTCAGTTCAGAAGAAAATTCTTCAGCAAATGTAGCAGGTATATGTAATGCCTTAATAGCTACTACTTCTGCAAAATGGATAATCGACACAGGTGCTACTAATCACATGGTAGCGGATATAAATCTGATAGACAATTCTACTGTCAAGCAAACTCAATATCCTAAGAAAGTGTATATGCCAAATGGTGATCTAGCTTATGCTACACACACTGGTACTAGCAGGTTATCAAATAGTATATCAGTGTCCAATGTGTTTCATATTCCTCAGTTTAAATACAACTTGCTTTTTGTTGCTAAACTAACAAAGGAACTACAGTGCTCAGCCACTTTCTTTCCTGATTTCTGTATTTTTCAGGAACTCTTCACTGGAAAAATGAAGGGGATTGGTAGAGAAGATTGTGGATTGTACATTTTTGAATGCTCAGACAGCATAAGGAAAGAAGATGTTACGTTAGCTGCCAGAAGTGAAGATACTCAATCAAGTTCAAATATAGTAGATGTAGATCATGGCACAAGAGATTTGGCCATATCTCTACTAAAGTTCTGAATAAAATCATTCATGTAAAGACAGATATTATAGCTAGCAAGTTAAATAAGTGCACAGTCTGTCCATGTGCAAAACAGACAAGAATTCCATTTCCTACAAGTAGTATAAAAACAACTGAGTGCTTTGCTTTAGTTCATATGAATTTATGGGGTCCTTATAGTATTGCCACTCATGATGGAAATAAGTACTTCTTAACAATAGTGGATGAGTTATCCAGAATGACTTGGGTGTTTCTGCTTAAGTTGAAATCAGATGTGTGTACTGTTCTACAATATTTCTTTACCTATATAAAAACTCAGTATGATAAGAATGTAAGAGTTATAAGAACTGACAATGGAACTGAGTTCCTGCCTGCAGTAGTCTATTTCAAACTCTAGGGATTGTTCATCAAAGAACTTGTGCTTATACTCCCCAACAGAATGGGGTAGCAGAAAGAAAGCACAGGCATATCCTAGAGCTCACATGATCCATAAGGTTTCAAGCTGGCATACCAATTAAATTTTGGGGAAAATGTGTTCTAGCAGTTGTATATCTGATAAATAGAGTGCCAAGTTATGTGATTAACAATCAAACTCCTTATGAAAGGATACATCATAGGCAACCTACATATCAACATTTAAAGGTCCTTGGTTGTATGTGCTATGCTAAGGTTATATTTCAAGATGATAAACTGATGACGAGAACAAAACTAGCAGTTCACATGGGCTATTCAGAAGTCCAAAAAGGGTGTGTGTTATATGATCTAACAGAGAAAGTATTTTTTGTTAACAGGGATGTGATCTTTAAAGAAGATGTATTCCCATTCAAATATCAAAAGACAAGCAGCCAACCTATATTTGTAAATCAAGTGCCAGTTGAACAACAACATAGCTGGTATTTAGAAGCTCAACAAAGGCAAACTCCAAATGAAAGCTCATATTCTCCTACTAATACAAATATGAAAATACCATTTGATTCAATGGATTATATACATCAGGCAGATGATGATGCTTCACTAGAACTACAACAACAAAGGGCTGATAGTTTACTACCAAATGCAGTGCAGCAGATAAATGATCAGACACAAAGTCTTCCCATTATGAATGCAGAACAACCAGAATACAGAAGATCTAGTAGAGATAAACATCCTCCAATTTGGATGAAAGACTTTGTATCTCTAAATGTTCATCGAGATATTCCATATGCTATTTCAAGGTACATTTCCTATGATCAACTTTCCTCTACATATCAAGCATATATAGCAGCAACTTCTGTAGAGACAGAACCCTCATCTTATGCAGAAGCTACCAGAGATCCTAGATGGATAGAGGCTATGAAGACTGAAATTGATGCTTTGCAAACAAACCATACTTGGGATATTGTATCATTACCTGAAGGAAAAGTACCTATTGGATGTAAATGGATATACAAAATCAAATACAAATCAACAGGAGAAATTTAGAGATTTAAGGCAAGGCTAGTTGCAAAGGGATATAGCCAAAAGGAAGGTATCGACTATCAAGAAACCTTCTCTCCTGTAGTTAAGATGAAAACAGTTAGAACAGTCCTAGCTATTGCTGCTGCACAAAACTGGAACATACACCAAATGGATGTCTACAATGTTTTTCTTCAAGGTGACTTATATGATGAAATCTACATGGAACTACCACAGGGATTTAAGAGTCAGGGGGAGAATAAACTTGTGTGCAGACTCATTAAATCCCTATGTGGGCTTAAACAAGCCCCTAGACAGTGGAATGCAAAACTAACTGAAGCACTCTTGAATAATCAGTTTCAACAAAGTCAATTTGATCATTCTTTGTTCATCAGAAGAACATCATAAGGGATTATTATTGTATTAGTCTATGTAGATGACATGTTAATAACATGGGATAGCCTAAACTGATAGTTGAAACAAAAACTGTACTACAACAAACATTCAAAATGAAAGACCTGGGAGACTTGAAGTATTTTCTGGGCATAGAGTTTGCTAGATCCAAACAAGGTATACTAATGCATCAAAGGAAATATGCATTAGAACTCATATCAGAAGTTGGGTTGTCTGCCGCTAAGCCTGCTGTTACTCCACTAGACATAAACATCAAACTGACAACAAAGGAATTTGATGATCACTGCAACAAGACAAAGAATTCTGGAAGTGAACAACTAGCAGATCAGAAGGCTTACCAAAGGCTAGTGGGAAAACTTCTCTACTTAACTATGACTCGACCAGATATATCATTCAGTGTTCAAACACTAAGTCAATTTTTTCAACAACCAAAAAGGTCTCATATGGAGGCAGCATTAAGGGTTGTCAGATATATAAAAAATCAACCAGGTTAAGGCATCTTATTAAGCAACAACAACAACAACATAGTGGCCTATTGTGATGCTGACTGGGCTGCATGCCCATATACTAGAAGATCTGTAACTGGTTATCTGATTAAACTTGGTAATTCACTGGTCTCTTGGAAGTCTAAGAAGCAAATAATTGTATCTAGAAGCTCTGCTGAAGCTGAATACAGAAGTATTGCAGCTACTGTTGCTGAAATAGTTTGACTACAAGGTCTACTGAAAGAAATTGGAATAGAATTCAACCTTCCAATTGACATCTACAGTGATAGTAAGGCTGCAATGGAGATTGCAGCTAATCTAGTGTATCATGAACGTACTAAGCACATTGAGATAGACTGTCACTTTATAAGGGAAAAAATCACACAAGGTTTGATAACTACTAAGTACATCAGCACCAAAGATCAACCAGCAGATTTACTTACTAAGGGGCTATGTAAAGTGCAACACAACTATCTAAGTTCCAAGCTAGGAGTTTATAACATATTTACACTACCTAGCTTGAGGGGGAATGTTGAGAAATAAAACTGTTAGAATGCAGGGGCAGTTTAGTCACTACATACTGAGTTAGTTAAAGTTAGTTAAGGGGGTTAAATAGTTAGTTAAGATCATTTTAGTTAGTTAAGCTCACTTAGTTAGATTATATAAATGATTCATTGTAACATTTTTGTAATCATATTATTGAGATGAATAATACCTAATTCACTCTATTTGCTCTCTCTCTCTCTCTCTCTCTCTCTCTCTCTCTCTCTCTCTCTCTCTCTCTCGTCTCTTCCATTCATCTTCTTCCTCACCTCTGCTTATTCTCTTCTCTTCATCTTCCTCTTGTTCTATACAAATTGTCACTTAGTTAATAACTGCTCAGCTTTGTTCTAAAAAATTTGATAACAAGCTTTTTAAGCTGCTGCAAAAAAAAAACATTTTTTTTTGTAATTAAAAAAAAATCATTCCCTGTTTGTACTCTTGACAAAATCAAGTCTTTGAAGAATATAGTGGATTGTTTCAGTTGAAGAACATGGTAGATTAATGATGGAAAGTAGATATGGTAGGGAGAGAGAGTGAGGAAGAAAGAGAAAAAAAGATCGATAAGAAAAAGAGGGCATCACGCGCTCATTCACTGTGTAGCACACACACCTTGACATGCGAGCAATGTGTGTCTAATAGATACACTTAGACTTGAGTTAAGGTGTTCAATAGGAACAAAGTTTAGTTCAAGTGTCTAAATGAAAAAAAAAGGGACAAGTTTAAGAGTCCACTTATGTATTTGGCCTAAAAAAAATGGTAAACTATCATTTTCTTAAGGCCAAATACATATAGAGCCCATTCAACTTGGCACTTCATTTTGGCACTCTATCTCAACCTTGTTTCATTTTGGCGCTCTAATATTTTATATGATTCATTTTGTCCCTCCAAATCTATTTTTATGTTCCACTTTAACACAAAAGTTGAAACCAATGCAAAAAATATAGCGCGTGCGTATACACAAATCTGAGGTGTAATAAATATCCAATTAAATGTTTCCACCTGATTTTTTCATCCATGTCAAACGGGTCAATACTAAAATACCTGAACCCGACCGTATTTGGGTAAAATTAAGTCCGCTTCTTATTTACACAAGAAAATGACAACACTGAAAATGAAATCCGAAAATAGTTCACTTACTTTGTCAAATTTACACCCATAAAAGCGTCGAACTGGATTTCTTGGTGTCCATGAAACTTTCAGTTCAACTTGAATCCACAAGAACAAATATTCATTCCATTATGAAAAAATAATTTTCTTTGAGACATGGATTCACTTCAAACTTCAAGCTTAGATGAAATAAACCCACAAAAAAAATCAAAATAAAAACGAACAATAAAATTATAAAAGTTAGAAATTTTCTGGACGGCCAGATATGAAATCAGTAGATGAAAGCTTTGGAACATTGAGAATGAAGATGGGGCAACAGTGGATGAAAAAATACGGTCGGGTTCGGGTATTTTATTATTGACCCATTTGACATGGATGAAAAAATCATGTGGCAACATTTAATCGGATATTTATTACACCTTAGATTTGTGTATACACACGCGCTATATTTTTTGCACTGGTTTCAACTTTTTTTTAAAGTGGAACATAAGAAATAGAGTTGGAGGGCCAAAATGAAACATATAAAATAGAGTTGGAGGGCCAAAATGGAACAAGGTTGAGATAGAGTGCCAGAATAAAAAATGGGGCCAAGTTAAATGGGTTGTATATGTATTTGGCCTTTTTTAATCTATTAGGCTAAATTATCTGAATTAGTGGATGTATACGGTCAAATTTTACTATTTGATCGAGACAAGGGAGTCGCATCGGGGGTTGCCTCATAATGAATCAAACCCGAGCTCGAAGACGAGGCATAGAGTCTAAAGATCAAGGTGTCCGTAGAGATCGAGGCCAGCAGCATTTGATATTAAGTATGACCGACCACGAGTGAAGTGCAATAACAGAAAGACGAGATATCCGTAACCGGTCGAAGATCACGGCGAAAATCTCGAAACAGATCAAATCAAGGGCGGTTATTTGTACCAATCATGAGATTTACTTCCGTAATTATAATTGTACTATAATTAGGATTCCTCTAGTATATAAAGGGAGTCCCCATCATCTGTAAACACCTTACAGACATACAGATCAAGGAAATATAATATTTCTCTATTGTTCATCAACTTATTGTTCTGTAAGTATTCTTACTTTACTACTCTCGAGGGTTCATCGGCTCAAGGGCATTGTCCAAGCATCAGCTTGTTTTATACTCTTGTCAATTCTCATAATTTATCTCTAAATTAATCAATTGGTATTAAGTGAAATCACGTATCCTTAAAACCACATTACAAGTTTAATTGTTACTCGATTTTTAGGGTAAACAGTTTGGCGCCCACCGTGGGGCTAAGGATAATGGTGATTGCTTAATATTGACCTTCATAACACACACTGCTTTTACACTTGTTCTCGTAAGTGTTTTTGACTTCAGGAATCAACATGTCAAACTCTCAAGCAGTACCCACTCACGATGACACCGGCCTTGGTCTTCATGGCGAAAATGAACACATAGTCGCCCCGGGAAACGAAGTGCCTCCAATCAATCCCGATGCACCACACCATGGATCCGGTTGATGTCAATTCTCATGTCGCTGGAGATTTAGGCAGCGATAGCGTCCGCAGAGATGCCCAGGCAGCCGAACGGAACACACAAAATGGTGAAGAAGGCGGAATTAGCCTTCAATGATATTTGACATGCTACAAACTCAACAGGCCGCGATAGCGCAACTCCAAAAGCAGAATCGAGCCCCAAGTAGAATCGAACTCGATACATCACAGGAAGTTGCTCATAGGGTCGAACCCGTGCAGGAAAAATTGAACGATAATGGATCGGGAACTGATCTTGCCGTCATGAAAATTCTCGAGGAGCTCACTAAACGGATAGAATCAGGTGAATTGAAAATTGAGGCTAATGACAAAAAGGTAGACACGTACAACTCACGAGTTGACCAAATACCGGGGGCACCCCCGATCCTAAAGGGTTTGGATTCGAAGAAGTTCGTGCAGAAGCCTTTTACTCAAAGTGCGGCTTCGAAACCCATTCCTAAGAATCTTCGTATACCAGACATCCCCAAGTACAACGGGACCACCGATCCTAATGAACACATCACTTCGTACATATGCGGAATCAAGGGAAATAACTTAGAAGATGATGAGATTGAATCCGTTTTCTTGAAAAATTTGGAGAAACTTTATCAAAGGGGGAAATGATATACTACCACAATTTTTCCGCCCAATTCCATCGATTCTTTCGCCATGCTCACCAATTCATTCGTAAAGGCACACGCCAGAGCGATAAAGGTCGAGACCAGGAAGTCGGACCTCTTCCAAGTGAGACAAAAGGACAATGAAATGCTAAGGGAATTCTTATCTCGATTTCAGATGGAACGCATGGACCTACCCTCGGTTATCGATGATTGGGCTGTCTAAGCCTTTACTAAAGCTTTGAACGAGCGAAGTTCGATAGCATCACGTCAACTAAAGCAGAATTTGATTGAATATCCAGTGGTGACTTGGGCCGATGTGCATAATCGATACCAATCAAAGATCAGAGTCAAGGATGATCAGTTGGGAGCTCCATCCGGTTTCGTTTACCGAAACAGGTCCGAAGGCAGGATTCAAAGAGACATCAACAGAGAGCCCCGATCGAACAGAGATTGATACCAACCATATGGCGCATATCGAAGAAACAACAGACCGGGATGCAATCCCGTTCGAAATGAATGAAGAAATGATCGAGGTCAAAATTCTCGAGGGCTCATGAGTAAGAATGGCTTCGATAAACACGTCGAGCCTAAGGAAGCACCACGGTTATCGGAATATAAATACAGCATCGATGCTTCAGGTATTGTGTCAGACATTGGACGAATCAAGGATACTAGGTGGCCCAGACCCCTGCAAATAGATCCAGCTCAAAGGAATCCGAATCAAATATGCAAGTACCATAGAACCTATGGTCACAAAATCGAGGACTACAGACAATTAAGGGAGGAGGTAGCTCGTTTGTTCAACGAAGTTCATCTTTGAGAGTTCTTGAGTGACCGAGCAAAAAATCACTTCAGAGACAGTGATGCAAACAAGAAAAACGAACAGGAGGAACCGCAGTACGTGATTCATATGATCGTCGGTGGGGTTGATATCCCTCAGGGTCCGACATTTAAATGCACCAAAGTCATAATCACAAGGGAGAAGCATAACCGGGACTACTTACGAGAAGATACCTTGTCCTTCAACGATGAGGATGCGGAAGGGATCGAACAACCTCAGAACGACACACTGGTAATATCTATTCTTATGAATAAAATTCAAGTTAAACGTGTGTTGATTGATCTAGGTAGCTCGGCAAATATTATTCGATCGAGGGTCGTGGATTAACTCGTCCTTCAGGATCAGATCGTGCCTGCAGCTCGAGTGCTCAACGGTTTCAACATGGCGAGTGAAACCACCAAAAGGGAAATTATGTTGCCAGTTAACGTGGCCGGAACTATCCAAGAAACGGAATTCCATGTGATCGAAGGAGATATGAGGTATAATGCACTGCTCGGAAGACCTTGGATCCATAATATGAGGGCAGTACCTTCAATGTTTCATCAAGTCTTGAAATTCCCAACACTGGAAGGAGTCAAAACGGTGTACGGCGA